GAGGGGTGGGGTGTATGTCTTTACTACATTGTGAACTCTTAGATGGGAACAAAGTTCCCTGTTCAATTAGTGTTTAATGAATGTTATTTCATGATGATAATAAAATGATCTCTATACTACTGAACGTCATAAGGGCCAAAATGGTTTTCTATTTACCACTCCTCTTCATATCCATTTTTGCAGCTGATGGAAAAGTAATTGCTCTTCTAAATGGAGTATAATTTAATACTTATTCAAATCTTAATTGTTGTAGATAATAGAAAACCATGCCTTATTCATTCATCCGTTTGTCCATTTACTCAGCAGGCATATATGGAGCAATCACCAAATTCTTAGACTCATAAGCACCATGCTAGAAATAGAAGTGAGGAAGAGAAAGAAGGAAGAAAAGCCAGGAAGATATATTTGACCCATGGAAATCTCCATGAGTTAACTCTGAAAACTTTATTTTTATAACCTTTAATGAATGCTCGAAAGGGGATTATGATGATACTCTATGACCTAAAAACAAAATTTTAGAAATGGCTCCTTTTTTGGCTAAATAAAAAACAGGATTTTAATACAGAAGGGCTTTGTGCTAGTTGAGGGTCCTCAAATAACTTGTTTTTGCTTGGAATGTATGTACAATTTGGTATGTATATTTCAAGCATTTTCTTCTTAGATTTGAATGCTCATTATAGGAAAGAAAGAGTGCTAATTATTTATTATTATGAATCAGGCTTTGGGACCAAAGTTTCCTTTTCATTGTGTGAATTACTAGTAGAGCTGCACTTGGAATTAGTGGATAAATAGATACCCAGGTAAACCCTTTGACGCACACCTGAATCACTTAAAATGTTCTCTGGATAAAATCTTCACATATTAATTAGAAATATCTTGAATATTTTTTTTGAAGCTGTAAGGATTTTATGAGGCAACTTTAGTATTTTTAACTTAAAACACATAAAATGTAGAAGTTGGTAGGTTTGCAGTCTTCAGGAAGATTAATCTTGAGTTGATCCTTGCACACTCTGAAATACAAATGGTGAGAAGTAAAGCTTTTGTTAGGAGGACAGAGGAAGAGAGAAAAACAGGGAATATAAGCTAAGGTCACAGTAGGAATAGGCAAACACTTGATTATGTTACAAGAGCTTTTGGCAGATTTATTAAAAAGGATTCTTTTTCTTAAATTATTGGTTTTGGCTTTTTCCTTAGAAATAACTAGAAACAAAGTCTACTAAATGCTACCAATTAGGGTCTCTGGCAATACTTCAGTTCTAATTGCTGAAAAGAAAATTAAGAGAATTAAAATGATGTCCAACATTTTGTGTTCCAAGTTCAATCAGCGTAGTCATCAGCTGACATTTACTCTGAACCCCTTGGGTGAATGGCACTGAACCAAATCCTGTAAGAAATATTATCTTCTGCCTATGTGAGCAACTTAAACTATTGCTCTCAGAAGCTATGGATACTAAAAGTTAATGTTAATATTACTGTAATTCCAGAATTGGGGCTAAAATAGGGAAAAAAAAGTAAGCATTGTCTACTTTTTATTTTGAATGAAGACATTACCATCCCATACAATGAAACAGAAAATATATTCATTTTTAAATATCTGAGCAATTAGTATTTTAGTACAAAAATTCATCTCGAATGAAGAGTTGAGACATTTTAAGATTAATGCAAAAAAAGATTAATGCAAGTAAACTATAATTTGATTAGTAATGGTAAGGTGACTTGATTCAGAGCATATCAGGTTTAAAATAAATTTTGCACACCTCCTTCACAAATACACAGAAGATTTGGTGGATAAGATGTAAAAAATTTGTGCATAAAACTTATTTTTACCTGACCTTCAAGGTTAAGAATACATTGGATGTGCAAGCATTTGTTGTTCTGCATTACAAGTATTTTTTTTAAAAATACAATCATTCTAAATTTATATTGTTCCCATCTAGATCCTCCTCCCTAGCGATACCTCTCCACCCCAGTCTCTTTCTCTCTAGTTGGCTTCCTATGCTGGCTACCCAGTCATTACCATTTAACACCATTTAAGGTAGCTCTGCTGGTTGTAACTATTCTGAATCCCAAATCTAGTTTCTCTTTTAACCTAGCTTCCTAAATCAAATTGGCAAGCTAATTTACTGCTCTCCTATTTCATTTCATGAACTTTTGATTTAGATTGGTTAGGAGGATATAATATAATCCGGGAACAATCCCTTCCCCGTAGAATCTGTGTTTGCAAGGCTTCCTCCTTTGCTAGCTGAACGTGCTCAAGTCAGGCAGAGTACCTCGTGAAGGACTTCAGCCCCCACAGTTCCCTGTGTGCGCATGCCCTCTCTTCTTACAGTTGTCAAAGTGCTTTTGCCAGAGCGGTCACATAATCAGCCCGAAAGAAGAAAATAAATTTTGTACACTTTTTAATCTGATCGATCCGTAAAAACTGGACACACAAAGGTAATTGCTAGTAAGAATTTGTTAATTGAAACTGTGTTATTGCATGTGAAAAAAGATCTATTGTGTGTGTGGCGGGGGGAGGGGAAGGAGGTATCTATTTCTTAGACTTTGCTGTAAATAAGCAAAAAAAAGAGAAAAGACAAAACAAAAAAGCAAACTAATTACTGAGGCTGTTATCGACAGGCATTGCATATTAATGTTGTAGATTTTATCCTGATTCACTGCTTAGCTTTAGCTTAAAAGGCTCTTATTTATTAAAGGTGGGTCTTGACCTTGACAGAGTGAATTTTTTGCAGAAAGTGAAATTTGTATCTTTAAGGGGTATTGAGAAGAGAAATGGGTGCTTGGTTTAACATTTTAAAAATTCAGTGAATATGTTTATATTAATTATAGCCATTACAAAATATTCTGAGTCCAGATTACTTTTTTGGCTTTTTTTCCCCCCCTACAGTATGACATTAATTTTTCCACCAAGAGCATGTAGTTTAAACTGACAGCATTAACAAAAAGCATCGATTCTAGCCACTGGAAAAGCTGAGTGATATTAAAATTATAATTAAATGCATATTTCAGCCATGATGATAGGGCTATTGTAAAGACAATTTAGCTCACTAGAAATGACTCAAATCCTAGATTATATTGGTTTACTGCAGCAGTATTTAAACCAAGTATGAAAACATCTATGACCATCTTCTTTGCAGCAGTGTTAACTTTGTGTTGTTTGAATCCAAACCTTGCTTGCCTCTTTGTGTTGTATTTTACAATACTAGCCAAAGCCATTGTTTTAGACCAGGAGAACTAAGGCACATAAAAGTAATATTTGGCAGGTTTTATTGATAGTGTGTGGCAAGTTTTGATGTGTGTATTAGAGGTGGGTGTTACTGCCCGCTCTCCCCCTACCCCCGGGTGGAGAGCAGGGACATGAGGGGTAGAAAGGAGAGTAAGGTAGCTGGGAGACATTTCCTTGAGCCTACTATTTTGTGTATGAAACTTTGAAATGAAAGCTACCAGCCATTTTATTGATAGTCTTTAATAAAATAGTAGGACTACTTTGAATCCCTTATATTGGCCTGACATTATTTGCTTAGTAGTTAAGAGCAGTAAAGCCTCCATTTTCCAATACATTTATTTTACAGTAGTTGTTATTATGAGGATGTCCAAAGGGAAGCACTCTGTGTGTATTTGAATAGCCTTTCATAAGTGTTCTGAGGAAGATGCTTCGCTGAGTTAATTAAGTAACTGCATTAAATATATTAATAACTTTGTTGCAATTATATTGAATCATCATCTAAAAATAATTACGTGTTGGGTCATATGCTCCTTTAATATTTCAAAATGTTTCTTTTCAGGGTCTCAGCACTGTAATATTTGTATATTTAAATCAATTAACATGTTCTAAGGAACCAGCAACTCAGTGCTAACTACATATAGGGAAATCTCCTGGTTTTGAATGATTACTGTTTTCCTTGGTGAATAGGGAAGCAAGGTATCGGACAGCAGCGAATATAGTCCTTCTTTGTGAAATGGAAAATACCATCCACTCCTTAAATCACCAAATGAAGCACTATAATTACAATGTGTGAGGATTTGGGACTTTGTATTCCACTATTTATAACGTGTTTGCTAGCATATGGTAATTCAGGGTCTTCAAACCATACTGTTTCACTGCTAATACTAGTGATAAGAGAACAGATTCTAAATTTGCCAAAATCTTGTGACCAAAGCAGCAAGAATTAAAAAAAAAAAATGAAAATCTGGCAACCTTAGAATTAACTTGTCTGTCTACATAAATCCGAAGGGAGTGTTAAAAAGCCCCACCCCCACCCCGTCTCACGGCTTCTCTCTCTCTCTCTCTCTCTCTCTCTCTCTCTCTCTCTTGCTCTCACTCTCTCGCTCTCTCACCTCAAATCCAACCAGAAGCATTTCTCCACTCTGCAGAGAAATTCTCAGGCTCCTGTTGAGACCTGAAGCACTGAGATGCCAAGAAATCTCGTGTGCAGCAGAACTGGAGACAAGGAAATTGGAGGATACGTGGAAAACCCATAGTCCTTAAGCGTATGGAAACGCAGGCATTCCCAAACGTTTCAGTACGTTTTTACGTCCTTAAAAAGGCGATGGTTTGAAATGCCTTCTAACAAAATGGAGTAGCTGCAGCTACTGAGAGGCCGGAGAGTGATTGTGCAGCTGAGTCCTTCTAACAAATGCCCAGGATTTCCTCCCTCGTGGCTCGCTGAAGCTAAATGAAGCAATTAGAAATGCAGGAAGGCAGCTTGCTCATCAAGAGGCACAAGGCTGCTGGGTTTTTAGTACTGGAGCTGGGGAAAGGAGAAGAAAGGGTCGTGTGTGCGGTGTCTTTTTTAACCTTGCTGAAGGACGCAGCAGTATTTATTGACGTATGCAAATAACTCCGGGAGGGTGGTGCTTGGGAAAAAACAGGAACCAGAATCAGTTTCTCATTGCAGGCTGAACGCTCTGAGTTCCGGTGAAGGGAAAAAGAGACGTGGCGAAATTGCTGTCTTTCTGTCTTATAAGCACATCTCTCACTCATACAGAAAAGGAATCGAGACACCAGAAAGGGTGAAGACGCTCTCACAGTATTTTTAGAGACTTTGCGCAAGCCTCCCTCCCCCAGCCCGACCTGTTCTTCTAAATGGGAGATTATGGATTTGCATTGCAATTGGCTACTAGCACTGGATTTTCGCAAGTGAAACACCCACCGGTTTCAGCGAGGGGCTTTAATGGTCACTTTGCCAATAACGCATCTCTCTCTCTCTTTTTCCGTTTCAGCTGCGCAAACCATGCAGGATGATTTACTGATGGACAAAAGCAAAACCCAGCCCCAGCCCCAGCAACAGCGGCAGCAGCAGCAGCCCCAGCCCGAGCCCAGCGCAGCCGAAGCCGCGTCCACGCCCCTCTCCTCTGAGACCCCCAAGCCAGAGGACAGCAGCGCAGTGCCGGCCCTGAGTCCTGCCGCGGCCCCGCAGGCCCCGAACGGCCCGGACAAGATGCAGATGGAATCGCCGCTCCTGCCGGGCTTGAGTTTCCATCAGCCCCCTCAGCAGCCGCCGCCACCGCCGCCTCAGGAGCCCGCGGCACCCGGCGCGTCCCTGTCGCCTTCCTTCGGCAGTACTTGGTCCACGGGCACCACGAACGCGGTGGAGGACAGCTTCTTCCAGGGGATCACCCCGGTCAACGGGACCATGCTCTTCCAGAACTTCCCGCACCACGTCAACCCAGTCTTCGGAGGCACCTTCTCCCCGCAGATCGGCCTGGCGCAGACCCAGCACCACCAGCAGCCGCCTCCGCCCGCACCGCAGCCCGCGCAGCCGGCGCAACCCCAGCAGGCGCAGCCCCCGCAGCAGCGCCGGTCGCCAGCCAGCCCGAGCCAGGCGCCCTATGCGCAGAGGAGCGCCGCCGCGGCGTACGGCCACCAGCCCATCATGACCAGCAAGCCGTCCTCGTCTTCGGCCGCCGCCGCCGCTGCCGCCGCCGCCGCCGCCTCTTCGGCCTCGTCCAGCTGGAGCACGCACCAAAGCGTGAACGCCGCCTGGAGTGCGCCATCCAACCCCTGGGGCGGCCTGCAGGCTGGCCGGGACCCTCGCCGGGCGGTCGGCGTGGGCGTGGGCGTGGGCGTCGGGGTGCCTTCCCCGCTCAACCCCATCTCGCCGCTCAAAAAGCCCTTCTCCAGCAATGTCATCGCACCGCCCAAGTTCCCTCGCGCGGCCCCACTCACCTCCAAATCCTGGATGGAGGATAACGCTTTCAGGACCGATAATGGTAACAATCTGTTGCCATTTCAGGTAATGCTCCGGTGCACCTGCCCACACCTTCCTCCTGCCTTGATCCTTTGACCCTCCCCCCTCCCCCTTGCCTTTTAAGCGTCCACCTGTTTTTTGTTTTGGGTAGATTGTGTTGTTTGTTCCTCTTTAGAAAGGGTAGCAGAGCCCAGCTCCCAGGCCTTCTGCCATAGCCTCCAGGTCACTGGGGCTGTTCCGCTCGTTAGGATGAGGTTAGGAGAACATTGTGGCTGCGCATGGAATCCTATTTATGCACCCTATCATCAGGATAGAACGGGGCCTTTTCTTTCCATTTGTTTTCTTCTTCATCGTGCCCGTGCCTTTTATTTTGACCTTCTTTGACAATGCAAGCTGCAAGTGGATGGCAGAATGCCTGCATAGTGCTAGGATGAGTAGACTTAGATTCCTATCATTTTAAGTAGCTACACACTTCAGGTTATGCAATCAGGCTCAGGGTGCAGCCTGAAAGCTGTCCACACCCAAACCACCGAGGCCTAACTCTCACAGAGGTTAACCGCCCTTCAGTGGTGCTATTTCAGACAGTTGCATATGCTCAATTAAACTAATGTGAACACATGTGTTTATGTCTCACTAAGGTGCTGGAATCATTAATAACAATCAGCATATTGCTCCTGCCGGGAAAATTATAAGTGTGAGATTCCAATAAACACCCAGAGCTCTGTAAGTGAAGGAGGTGGGAGAATAGAAATTCTAGGGCAACTCCTCCCATGTTGCCTAGAAAAAAAGGAGTATTTTTTTCTCAGAGGAACGAGACAATAGGACACGACCTTCAGAGCCATATTGCAATGGAGTCTGTTTGCTAACTAACACTGAAATATTTAAAGCTGCAGTGTCCTTCAGCAGTGGGGTTATTCAAGAAGACAATGCAGATCAATTACACCATTTGAAACTACGCAAAGTGAAAGTCTTGCAACTTTAATGAAAAATGAGTCTCGTGTCTGTGTGAAATGCCCCTGAAAACCTCAGGAAGTACCTCAGACAACAAGATTGAGTGGATACTGTCCTTATTTCTGTTCTTGTTTTCCAATACCGTCCATAGCCACAGTATCTGACAGGGTTCAAAACCTGGACATCAGAGGTTGTTGGAAAGTGGCGGTGAGGATATGCATTCACTGGGAGTTTTTGCTGTCCAGCAAATACTCATCCTTTTCTTAAAAAATGATTTGACTCCAAGCTTTTAGACTCCATTGAAAAAGGAAGGGAAAGGAGAGAGTGGGAAGGCTTCAGACAAAGCCCAGTTTGGGTGGTCAGGAAAAACCAAATGGAAATCCTTGGAGTGGCACGGGAAGATGGCAGAACTGACCATTTGACAGAGCTGGTCTGGCCATGTGTCAGGTGTAACTGGAACCTTCATTTTGTTGCTGAATGTCTGGAATGGCTGCCATCCATACAGGAGGGCATGGAGTTACTGAGAAGAGCTCCTTTCTAGATTAGAAGAGGCATTGGATTCTGGAGAGTTCAGGGAGTGTTCAGGAATTTTCAAGCTGTGTATTTGAAGAGTTTTCCTTGAGAGGATCTTATTAAATGTTCACAGGGGGTCCTTCGGGCCTGGAAATTTAATATTAAAGCAAACATCTTATTTTGATAAAATGAGGAGACGCTGCAAGATGGTTGATAAAGAAGCAATCTGCTTTCCGGAATTGATGTGTCGGCTTTTGGAGTGTGTAGCTCAGGCAGGCTGCATTTGTAGAAGAGGCCCGAAGTGTCTGCTTTTCTTCTGACACTCCCTACCTACATCCAGAATTAAGGGATAAACTAAGATTTTACAGGGAGGTTTGGAGTTTGGGAACTGGTAGTGTGGTCAGAGCTAATTATTTTTCTAGGAGCTGAGTCTGAATATGTCAGCCCCTGATTTATTTGTCTCCTGAAAAGGGAGATTGGAGATATTTAATGGGATGGGGAGATATTTAAATGCATGAAATTTCTCTAGGCCTGATATTGACTAGTCATGTGGGGGCTTGCCAGTTATTCCTCAGCAAACCATTTGCCAGTGGTGCTAATAAAAACCAAATGGGTTGCATTGAATTTGGTCTCTTTTTCGTCTTCTTTTTTTTTTTTTTTTAAGAAAGGCAGATATACAGAGAGGAGGAGAGACAGAGAGGAAGATCTTCCATCTGATAGTTCACTCCCCAAGTGAGCGCAATGGCTGGAGCTGTGCCAATCCGAAGCCAGGAGCCAGGAGCTCTTCTGGGTCTCCCACATTGGTGTAGGGTCCTAAAGCTTTGGTCCATCCTCAACTGCTTTCCCAGGCCAAAAGCAGGGAGCTGGATGGGAAGCAGGGTGGCTGGGACTAGAAATGGCGCCCATATAGGATCCTGGCATGTGCAAGGCAAGGACTTTAACCACTCCGCTATTGTCCCAGGCCTTCTTTTTAGTCTTGGTGGTGTTCCTGAGTAGGTAAAAATGGCCAAAAGATTTGTTTGAGAGGTATTTGATTGAAAAATGAGTATTGTTTATTTAACCTCAGGAAGAATTGCATGCACTTTGTCTCAGTTCTTTTTCTTTCTTAAAATGGACAGAGTTTTTGTAGCAATATTATAACCAGAGAGATAATTTGGCTTGGAATATGTGACTTCATTGCGATTTGTGTTAATGACTGTATCAAATGTGCTTAAAACAAAACACCGTACATCTTGTGTGCAGAATTTTCTATTCAATTCTGCACACAAGATATATGTGTGTGTGTGTGTATTTCCCATTTACAATTTTGCAGGCATAGGGCTTTCTGCTGCAGATACATTTTTCTTCAAACTGAAGTTTATTTAGTAGAATACCAGCTTGCTAACAGTGATCTCCTGTAATGCATTTTGATGTTTTTTAAAAATGTACACCTCCACCACAATATTTCTTCATTCTCTTTTGCCTCTGCCTACCAACACAGTAGATTTTTTTTTTTTTAGCTTTGTTTATGTGGTTTATATTGTAAAAGCAGTAATGATTTGAAGGTGGTTTTTCAAACTAATACGTGCTGCCCTGTTCTACTAAGCTTGATTGGCTCTCCTGTGTTGGAGTAGTTGTTCCCTCCTGGATTACTTGTAACTAAAAGTCACTTCATTTGTATAAATAAATGCGGTCCACAAACTTCCTGGCTCTGCACATGCAAATTCAAATGTGAAACTGCACATAAAGTGCTTAACACCGTAGTGCTTGGTCTGGTCTGTAGTAAAGTTCCCATAACTCTTAGGGTACAGTTTTTATTCTGATAGTGACCCGATGTGTGTGTGGGGTAATGATTTTTCATGCAGTGCAACTTGAATGAATATTCCCAAACTTGTATGTGATGTCACTTTTTTTTCCCGTGTATCCTCGGGATTGTGCAGAGTTAATCATAGGATGGATCAGCAGCTTGTACTATAGTTGCACCCTAAATACTTTACTGTGACACCATTTTTCCTTTGGCATATCTGATAGAAAACTCAGCAGCATGGCCTCTGGTCACTGTAAAGACATGATAATCCAACATTTACTCTGGGGGCTAGGCCTTGTGCTAAGCATTTTAAGTGCAGTCTTTTGTTGGAGCTCCTTTGAGGTAGAGGGCTGTGCCTATCCTCTCATTCTGACAAAGCAGCTAAAGGTCAGTGCAGTTGACACACAGCCAGTAACTGGCTAAGCTGAGATTTCACCCCCAGGCAATCTGCCTCCAGAGCCACCAGCTCCTACCCCCTTAGCTCTGCTGCCAGGACAGCATCAGTTAGTAGTGGAGTAGATTTGGAAGAATCCATGAGATAGTCTGGAAATTGTGCTTCAAAAGAATTTTTGTATTTGCAGAAACAGGAATATACAGTAAGCAAGTGTATACCACCATTTAGACTTAAGAATTGTCAATATTTTTTTGCTTTTTTAGATGACCTGTTTTTGAATATTGATTGTATTTTTGTGAAAAAAATGCAGATTCTGCTTTCTCTCTACATCTTTGCCTTAATCACTCTCCTTTTCTTCCATCACAAGTTAAAAGTTATTATAGAAAATTTTACATCTGCTGGTGTAAATCTAGTTATATAACTTGTTAAGTTTGGCAGCAGTTTATTAATAACAGAAGAAGAAATTAGTAAATGCATTGAGAGGCTATAAATGATATTAAAAATAAATATGCCTACTCTATATTTTAAAGATTTTAGGGAACACCAATATTTCTCAACTAAGTTGTATTTTTTTAAAAGATCTTTTCTCCAAGTAATATAAAATGTCTAGTTTTTGCATGTTTTAAATAAGGATGGTATGACCTGCATTTAAAACAAAGTTTCTTTTCTAGTTGGTTTCTTAACTACTGCTCTAATGCAAAACCACTTAAAGTCCGCCCAACCCCATAGACTGTTTCAGAACCTATTATGGCATGATTGATGTGAATACAGCCAAGCCACATTATCTATATTCTATTTAAAAGAGGAATTGGTTAGGAAATACTGGGTTTTGTATGCTACTGAGCACATTAATTTATTAATTCAGACTGTGTACTTTAAAATTGCATGTTGAAAAGTGGTTAGCTCTATGTAAACTTCTAACAGTCTTGCAGTCTTTTGATAATGGAAGCACAATCTTGAAAATGTAATGTTTTTATATTATCCTCTGAGAAAGAATTTTCTACTTACACAGCATTCTCCACTAGTTAGCCTGTTTTGCTTTGAAGGGCTGCATGAGGCATAATGATTGTTCGGTTGGAACTGGCTGTATCTCTTGTGATTTTCCTACTGTTTTGATCAGTGCATATCAAAAGATTTGACTTAAGGAAGTAAACAACTGTACTATTGAAAGATTGCTTAAACTGTGTAGATTTTACAGAGGAAAGAGCTAGATGAAAGGGAACATATGGTAATGGACAAGCCATGATTCTTGAAGGAGGAAGACTCTAGGCAAAGCATAGCTCTGTCATTGGTATTCAGAAGTCAGGGCGCTTCTCCAGGGATTCTTTCTGCTAGTCTGCTACAGTGGAAGGGCGGTGGTGGCAGGAGTGGGCAGCATGCCTGGCTGGCTTTTGGTATTGC